GTTCGGGAAGAGTGACAAGAGCAAGCTACAGTGTTGTTATTTCGGAAAAAGCAATCCTGTAATAGTTCCAAAATATCTCAACATTTCAAAATTTCAAAACTAATGCCTTGATTATAAATAAATGTTCAACAGCTTTCTCCATATTCACTTGCAGAGTCAGAACAAATTAGGCAAAATTTTCACTTGAATCAAGGTTGAACTTGTGCCAGGGGAGTGAAATGGGGTAAGAAGTCATGGTTGTAAGCAAAGAAATAACCATTTAATGAACCATTACCAAATATAAAACAGCTAAAGAAGGCACTTGGGCCCAAAAGCTTGATAGTAAATAAATCTGTGAATTATGGAAATCGATGTAAACAGCTTGATGGTCTCCCTGACACCGCCATTCCTCATCTCTGGATCTGTGACTTGCAAAGTGTCTGCACCTATTGTCTGATTTGTGTTTGTGTTCTATACATTTTTTTCTAATACTCGGCTATATAATCTCCTGAGACTTTTTATAACCAAAGACTGAGCTAGATTTTGCAAAATATATTTGAAAAAAGTGAGTTTAGATGTAAGCAAGAAAGATTATGGATGCACTTGCTAATGTAGAAGTCCGAAAGTGTATCAAGTGGCAAAAGAGGTTCAAGGTTCACATCAGATAAACTCATTTACATGCAATATTCACAAGCTTCTTGTAACACAGTATGCAAGAAAATGAAACCATAAGATCAAAATCATTTTTATCACACACTGTGGACAATTTATCTTTTCCCAAAAGCAGTTACAATTTTCTGTCACTTATAATGTGGTTAAAAGTGTTTGCTTCAAGGCAAACATAAGTTGGTTTGCTTTGGTTTGTCTGCACAATCAATGGCTGAATGATTCATGTCTGATAACATGGAAGGTGAAAATGGAAAGCTGTAGCAGGAGATTACTCACCTGACACGTAACTAAGAAAAATCAGGGGAATGAGTTTCATTACGAGTTGTCCTTACTCATAGATTTAACCCACCACATCTCCAGCTGTATCTTAGCTCAATTCTGATCTTAATATATTAGAGTGTATTTTGGGACTACTTACAGTAAGCTCACCTGATTCTCTAGATGTTTTATTAAATGCATATTATTTTAAAAGCTCTGTAATATCCCATTTACAGGTTATTTTTTAAAATTTTTATTAATTTTTTTATTTTACGGAGGGGTCTACAGGGTGTTCAGGGTCTCACTACTAGATCGGACTCATAGTGATCTGCCTATTTACAGCCTCCCAAGAGCTGGGATTTCAGGTGCGTGCCACCACGCCCAGTCTCAATCGCCATCTCAGTGCGCCCCAGGGGCAGGGCCGGCACAGCAGGCCTGGGGATCAAACTCCCAGCCCCTGCACCTGCTTGCAGGGCTTTAATCCACTGAGCTATTTAGCTAGCCCTATCACAGGTTATCTTTAACAAACACTTAAATACAGCGTTATCTGATGCAGCAAATAGAAAAATGTTTAAGGAAATAATTTCATTGAGTAAAAGCACTCCAAGTTGAGCATAACAGACTAGCATCCATTGAAAATGAAGAAACAAGAACAGAAAAAAAGAACAACACAACAAGAGACCCTGCTAGCCCCAAAGCTGGATTAGTCACCTTGAAGGCTCCAATCCTTCACGCCCGGAGTTTTTATTCCTCCTAACAGTGAATTTCTGTGTCCTCATCCACAAAAAGGGTGAACGCACCTACAGGACCTGCCCACAAGTGGATCACAGCCTTGGAAGCCACAGAAAGCCACAGAGCTTTAGGAAATGCTGAGAATCGTGTTCACGGCTAGACTGTGCTGTCACAGTTCCACATGCATCCAAGTGGCTATGACAGGCAAAGTACTAATTCATTTTCAAAATAAATGTAAATTGTATGTGCTTCAGTAATTTTCTCATTTTTGTGTCTTGCATCTGACAGGAACTGATTTTAAGAAGATGCAATTATTGAAGATTATTTCTAAATTCTTGAAACCAACTTGGTATAACTTCTAAGTGTTTTATTGTTTTTCTGTCCTGTTACGTTTTTTAAAGCCTTAGAATCAACCATGTTATCTATTGTATGTCAAGTTATTAATAACTGTGTAAGCACAACTCATTTTTATTTGTTTCGATCTGAATTTGGTAACTTTTAGGACTAAGAGATATAACTCATGCTACCAAAGAAGAGACCCTCCTAGTACAAGAGGAAAATAGCAGAACACAAGAGAAGAAAAACCTCTACTAATTTTTATTTTATTTTATTTTATTTCTGTATTTTAGTGCAGGGTCTACAGTGATTTGCCTGTGTTCAGCCTCCCAAGAGTTGGGATTACAGGTGTGCACCACCACCATGCCCGGTCTCAGTCACTGTCTTAGTGTGCCTTGGGGGCAGGGCCGGCATGGCAGGCTGGGGATCGAACCCCAGCTGCTGCATCTGCCTAAGCAGGCACTTTAGCGGGTGCTTTAATCCACTGAGCTATCTGGCTGGCCCTTACTAACTTTTAATGTAGAGACATTGATATGTGGTCCCAGATTGCTTGGCCTGGTATGTTTATGCCAGCACATGCTAAGCCTAATGTCATTCATGGTCTTTTAATTCCCACCCGCCCGCTCTGTTTAATGTATTCAGACATCTGAAGCGAGTCTGTCCAATGTTCTCTGCAGAACATCAGCACAGAATACAAATAAGTCAAAGAATAACAATCATGACAATAAAGATAGAGCGACCACAGCACTGATGGGAGCCTGCACCGTGCAGCAGCCGCTGGCCGGCGAGCCGCAGAGCGGCGCTGAGTCCAGAGTGCCCGCACCGGGAGCCCTTCTAGGCGCACGGGCTGCAGGCCCACGTCGGAGCGCCAGCTCCTTCCCTCGCTTTTACGTATAATGATGCTACATTCACATATCAATTAATGAAACTAAAAATCCAACAGTCTTTCACACAGTATGAAGGGGCTGGCCTTTTCTAGTATCTTGTCAACGTCCCAATTGTAGGGCAAAGTTCAGAATTTGTAATAAATTATGTCTGCATCCACACTGCCTTTACACTTGAAGACTCAATTGAGACTGCCTGGAGCACTGGCTGTCAAGAACTTCCTAGCACCACCTGTATGTGTATAGCCAAGTGCACATCTGAGTGGCACGACACTGTCAGCCCCTCTTCTAAACACAAAATTCCTAGATGGCTGACATTACCAATTATTCAAAACAGATTTAAGACTGGAAAATGTCAATCCAAGATACCCACCAACTCCTGTTTTCCTTGACCCTTTACCTTAACTATTCTCCCAAAATAAACCAATTTGCTATATTTAATGTATGCACGGTCCTAAAAATACCCAGAAACATCCCTCATGCCCTTTCAGTATCAGCTTCTTCCTATATTCTTTTCAGCACCTAAAGTAATTCTTTCTAGGCTAGGATTTTTCAGCTGTGTGTCTTTTCATGTGTTCATACACATGTGCGTATGAAACTTATGTCTATTTTTAGTTAAGGGGGCTTGAATTAAAACATGCCTAATTGGATTCCGCAGCTGTTCTGTCTGCTAGACTACTGTTCTTGTCATTGATCTTTTGAGAGAAATCCCTCTTAGAACCTGAGGTCAGATAAAACTGCTTCTCCTAAGCCACGAGAAAATTTGATCTGATAAGAAGCATAAATTATAATTCTGTACAGATGTCATCATTGTTTCTGCCCCCTCTTAAAAAGTGAAATTTATAAGCTAGGCATTGTGACAAGCACCTGTAACCATAGCTGCTTCAGGGAGGATTAGACAAGAGGATCGGTTGAGGTCACCCTGGGCCATACAGCAATGTCCCCAACTTAAAACAAAAGTGTGTGTGTGTGTGTGTGTTTTAAACTTGTGGGAGAGGTAGTAACAAGTAAGGAGGGAAGGAGATTTAAAAACATAAAGACTGTGCATTAATGTGTGTCCATGCACACATTTGTAGCCCACATTTAGGGCTAAATATATCAGTAACTCATAAGGGTAGTTTTGAACAACTAATGCAGATTCTTGGCCCAAATGGCTATGAAAGATTCATATTTCTATAATCTTTTTTATAAGTACTTTTCTGGGGGGTTGGGAAGATGGCTCAGTGGAATAAGCGCTTCCCTGGCAAGCACAAGGGCCTGAGTTCAATACCCAGTTCTGCAAAAAAAAAAAAAAAAAAAAAAAAAAAGTACTTTTCTGCATTGCCATTACCTGCATAGTATTTGGTGTGTAGTATGTATGGAATGAATTGTTCTTAAACTGTAAAGTGCTTTGTCTCCTCTCTGGCCAAAATAACCAAAATCACACATTTGCCTACATTGTCATCTCAGATGAAGGGTCATGGTATTAATACCTCTTAACCTTCACAGGCCTTTGCTAAGATACAAAGGTGCGGTGATTTGCTAAGTGGCAGTTCTGCTGAGCACCCTCTTCAGTGCTGCATGAGCACCTTAACTGAAAGGAAGTTCAAATTCCAGCAAGACGTGGACCCTCTGAGTCTCGATCACAAACGCTCCCTCCTGTGCCTCAGCTGTCTGGTTTTCATAAGCCTTGTAGTAGTTCCAAGAATATTTGTATTTCAGTTTATATTTTAAACTAGAATTTTAGAGTTGTCATACCTGGATTTGCATTTTAATCTTTTATTTTCCCCCTTAAAGGTCTAGAATGGAAGGTAGGAAGATATATTTTTGATCTTGTGAAAATTATTAACATAGAGGCCACACTCATTTTTTAATTAATTTTATTGAGAAAGAAAATAGCAATGAGACAGTTTCAAAAGAGGTTAGTAGGACAGTTACAATAATTACACATTTCATATTGTTGTCTTCATGGTAGCTATTCACAGTATGAGATGCAGACATGATATCTTGTCTAAACACTGTTAGTACAAATCTTTCATCTCATTGAACTAAGAGAAAGTAGCTAGATGTTTACTGTAACTATTTTATATATACAGATATGTGTGTGTGTGTGTGTGTGTGTGTGTATATTTTTTTCACTACAAAATGGTCCTTCATTCATGTAAAAATACGAAACGCTTCATGAATTTGCGTGTCCTCCTTGCGCAGGGGATGTGCTAATCTTCGCTGTATCATTCCAGTTTTAGTATACATGTTGCTGGAGCCAGCACAGAGCTCACACTCATAAAAGTTATCTTTTTGTCTCTAATGATTGTTACCTCCAAAGGAACTTCTTTCTGTCCATGAGATGCAGACACGGTTCCATGTTCCCTAATCTCTCTCCTCCATCTCCACACTAACCAAGACTTTTCTCACATCAATCACTCTGCCTTGGATCAGTGAGAATTCCACCTGACACAACGACCACTTCTACTTTATTATAATACCATTACTATGTAGTATTTTTTTGAAGCATTAAATGAGAAAGTTAAAACATCTATTATTTCTCTGTATGGTTTTATTTAAGAAAGAAGGTTTATTTGTAATTGGAAAACATTCATTTACTCTTGTACTACTGGGAAACAATGGGGGACAATTCTATGAGAAAGTCTGGAGTTACATTAATAGCTGATACAAAAGAAAGCAATTACAGCTGAATGTGATCTTTGAGTCATTATCATCTCTAGACATAATTCAGATCACAATTGTGCCACAGTTTTCTTTTTCATGCACGAATAAGTTCTAAGTCATGCTTCTACTTCAGTTACTCAGAGGTGGGAATTAATTTAGGATTGTTTTCCATTAAAACATTCTTTTAAATACAGTGAGTTCATCTGAAATGTCATAATATGAATATTATAAACTTTCAGTAAGTATCCTTAACACATATTTTAGAAATTATTTAACAAATTTAGTTAAAATCAATATTCAGGTATCCTTTGGAATTTATCAATTCAGTGGGAAACAGAAGCCCATAAATCTACACAAGCCCTGAAGAAATACGTAAGCCCTATCGGATCCAGCAACACAGTACAGGATTCCTGTGCTGGATTTCTAAAAGTAGAGTCGGTGGGAGTCCAGCTAGAAAACTAACCATCTTTTACCTTCACGTTGACTTTACCTCCTGGAACAGATACCGCTTGACATTCAATACATAGGAATTCGAAGTTGAGAGTCTTAGTGTTTGTGTGCTTCGGACTCACAAGTATACATGTTGTATTGTCTCATACATACAAAGTTCAAAAAAGCGGCTAACGTAGTCAGCAATAGCTGTTAGAGGAGCGTCCTGTTGAAATGCGTACATTATATAATGAGCTTGATGTTTACTACACAAGTCAGGAGGTTGGGTTGTTAAATGACATTGTTCCACTGCCCTAAAAGAATTAGAACTGGTGTTTTTTGTTCTCATTTGTGGGCCTATTTGTAAAAAGCTACCTATTGACCATGAAAGGCAGACTTGTTTATAGGGTCCCAAAACATTTCTCAGTGACAGCTTTTCCAACATGCATTTGATCTCCTGTCTTCACTGTGTACTTGCCTCTCATGATGGTGGCTGTACTTAAGGAGAGCAGATTACACGTTTAATAAAGTCGTAAGTTGTTTCCAATCTCTCAAAAACAGTAGAGTTTTCCTCTTAGAATATTTAACAATGGGAACTGATCCCCTTCCTATGCCATCCAGTTGGGTTGTTGTTTTTTTTTTTTTTTTTTTGATTCATTTCTTCATTTGACAAGATTAAAAAAAACATTGAATTTTAGGCTATTTAGGCTACTTGTATTGCTGTGAAACATTATTTTAGCATGAAATAATTACATGATTCCAAACATTCTCATCATTAGTATGTGATAAGAGAAATGACAAAATACTTTTAGGACGCATTCCTTACTGTGGAACGTGAATGTGCAGACCTGGAATTCAGCAACATCATTTATGAAAATGATGAACTCATGATGTACATCCTGAAGACCCTTCCCTGAAAAAATACAAGAAACTATACTTAAAAAATCACGCTTTTGATGAGCCTAGCCAAAGAAAAATGGACAGGCACAGGTCCTGAGCTATGAGTAGATTAATAAACAATAAATAAATACAGTTACACATAATCCCCAGTTGGACCAGTTTCTCTTTAAGAATATCTTTTCAAGTTGTGTAAGTGTAACAGTTTAAAGGTGGGCAATTGAATTCAATGCTACAATCTGTCATTCGTATAAGCATTTTCCGAGCTGTAATACTCCAAGACTAATAAAAATGAATGAGGTGTAATTAATGTGTAGAGCCCATTCTAGGCTTTCATAAAGAAGAGAAACATGGCTTTCTCACTCAGATTTTGAGGAAATAAGTGTTTTATGTCCTTATCAGGTTCTGTTACAACATGCAAGTGTTTCTATCTGGCAAATTTCTTCTTAGTGTTTACACACTGCTCTTATCCCGGGACGTAATGAGGCCGCAGTTCGGGCCGCGCCACCGCTAATCACTTCTTTGCTTTTCTCACTATGAATGGATGGGTTTTACTGGAAAAAAAAAAAAAAGATCAATAAGTAGGGGACATTATTAAGAAATCAAATAGCACTTAGTGTTAAAAATGGTATGTTGTCTAGTTTTTCCTGCTTTGGCCATTGTATGCACTTTAAATATAAAGAAATATTATTTTCATGACTACTGTGCATTCACTTAACTCATGGTGTTTAAAACTGGATGATAATTGCATTGGTGAAGCCCTTCTATCCCTGCAAAATAAACAAATGACAGCTTGTTGGGAGAGTAATAGAAAATTAAATATGATTTAAAATAATGGTCACTCTTTAAGTTGCTTTCTAAATTCTGTGTTGTGTTGACAGATCTGGGAAATTTTAGTGGCCGGACAAGAACTGCGGTGTCTGTGAGGGAAGGCCAGGGGGTTGTCCTGCTGTGCTCTCCTCCACCCCACTCTCCAGGTACGGTAGGAACCTTCTCCATCACGTGCGTGCTCGCAGTCACTGTGCTCACTCCCCGAGGCAGTACGCTGGCGGGGACATTTGGGCAGAATGTGCATGGTTTTCTTGATGTGGATTGGATGACAGATGAGTAATTAAAGATGATAAACTGTGTGCCTTGGACGGAGACTGAGCTGCTGCAATTAAATTGTTCTGTCACCATCCAGCTATTGATTGTCACAGTTACATATCTGCCTGCCCTCACTGAGGAATATATTGCCTAGCATGTAAGGGAGGCAATAAACTAAATGAATGAAAACCTGCAGATTATTTGGAGTGTCAGAGATGAGTTCACTGAATGCTAATATGCATCTTGTTACCGAAGATAAGGTGGGTCCATCCTTGTTTGTTTACAGTGTTCTTTGCCGCCTTGGAACAAACACTGCTAAAAAATGTGCTTTGTGTTTCTAAAAATCTATGATTTGCAGAGTACTCTTTTCTTTTCTACTTGAGATTTTGCTTGTAAAACTCGGAGAAATAGATCAGTACTTTATGAGGTTTAGGAAACAGAATAGCAAATCACACTCAGCTGTACATGCCCTTCTCCAGCTCACACCCTAATTGTGCTTATTTTGTGTTAAGTCCTGTAATTTGAGATGAGTGTCTCTGTGTATTTCAGCATAGTATTGCTATAATGCAATTTAAGATTAACTAGCATTAATGAATATGGAGGAGAAAGCGGGAGAACATAAGAATAGATATATGAACAAGATATTTTTTCTGGAAAATGTGAGCTTTCTGTGTGTAGTTAATTTGTTTCTCAATAAAATTAATAAAAATGTTATTAGTTTAGTAATAGAGCCTATTTAAATTTTAGCACAGATAATTTTAACAAAAATAACAGAAGAATCTACATCAACTTTAAAGTTTTTGTCTTCATCTGAGCCTCTTTTGAATTTTTTAAAATTGAAAATAAACTACATTATGTTTCAAATGAGAAATAGCTTTGAATTTTTTTCTTTATTATTTATAGAAACCAGGAGTGGTGGTATGCCTGCAATCTCAGTACTGCCAGGCCGAGGCAGGAGGATTACCATGTATTCGAGGCCAGCCTGGGCTACGTATTTGAGATCTTCTCTCAAAAAAAAAAAAAAAAAAAGAAAAGAAAAGAAAAGAAAGAAAAATTCATATCAAGTCAGTTAGGAATAGTGTGAGAGCTATACCCCCAATACCTATAAGTTAGTCACTCCAATCTTTCTGAGAGCAGAGAACACACCTGCATCTAAATCCAGATTTATTTTCCATCAAGACAGCATATACTTTAATGTTTTAATGGATAAGGCATTAATTTATGACAAGTTCAGAGAACTCCTATAGCATGCACATAGATTGTATCAGTATTGGTTACCAGGAAGGTTTGGTTTGAAGAGAAGTATTAAGTGAATAATTGTTAGGGGAGGGGATAGGTGCGGGAACACCGTGGCCTTTATTGAGGCTGAACCAGTTCTTTATGACTGATAGGAGTTCAGGCATGAAATAATGGAAAAAAGCAGGCTTTTGTCAGATACAATCTGTATTGTGTGTTGTTCCAACTTGTATTTTAATAGAAACTGAAGTGCAAGAGGAGGACTTGGAAAACCAAACTGTAAGACTGCACTAATGAATTACTCAGTTGGCAGAGAAGCCGACACAAGGTTTTGCTCTGGGAACAGCACTGTGATGATACATATGCAATAAGATGCGTGTGTGATAAGGGTGTGGGCTGGGTATTCATTCAGTAAGTGGTGCGAGACCCGATTTAGACAGGCAAGCCCCAGCAAGGCGCACAGCCAGTGGTCTTGCTTTACAGCCGGCCTGGCCTCTGGCTCCCTTCTTGCCACCTGCCATATTCTTCTGATGGAGCCTCACAAGCCTCCTGTTTTCTGACTGGTACAGATTATACTCTTTTCTTTTTACTTTTTGCTGTGCCCTGATTCAAGAACATCTTCCATCTCAGGAAAATTTACAAATCTGTTTCTTTCACTCTGTATTCTCTCTTTGCTTCTCATTGTTCTCCTTTGATCACTAGCTCCTTACATGCGGCATCAATTGCATCATTCCTCTTTTGCTCCATTGCATACATTTGACTGCTTGTGAGATCTCAACCCTGGTAAACCCAACTCTCAGCATACTGCATAGCTGAGCCTCTTCTTAATATAACTAAAATGTTAAAACACAAACAAAATTTGTGCAAAGTAATTTCAATTTAAAATACAAACTATAAAACTTCAAGTGCTCCTTGATGCTCCTTGAGTAAATTTCAAGAACACTCAATTTTATTTTTTTTATTTATTTTGCAGAATGGGGGATTGAACTCAGGCCCTTGCACTTGCCCTGGAAGCGCTTATTCCACTGAACCATCTCCCCAACCCTCAATTTTCTTTTACCATGCCTTTATCCCCACTCAGTGTGTCTTCCCCATCTGTTCTCCAGGGGATAATGCTTCCTCCTGTTTCTCTCTAAGAAGGGAGGCACAGGAAGCACAAGAGCCCCTCTCCAGGGCTGGACCACAGGAACCTGCAGCTGCTTTTGTTGCTGATGGAGCCTGGTAAGGCTGCTCTTGAAGGCCGGCCGGCCCTACGTCCTTAAGCCTTGGCTCACCATTTCTTCTGTATTGTTTTTACCCAAGCAAACCAGTTCAGCATTTTCCTGCCTTTCCTCTGCAGCGGGACCGGAGATTGTTTACTCTGGTTTTATTTCCTGCATCTGAAGAGGCAGGACTCTTTTCATTCACATTCTTTCAGGCACTTCTCATTTTTCCGCTCTCCTGTAGTGAAGCACTTCAAAAGTTCCGCAGGGACTCCGGCAAACTTCATCCGCGCATCCTTTCCTCCCACCCTCCCACTGCATCTCTGCCTCTTTCCCTATCTCTCCAGCAGACTTACTGAGGTGAAATTGTTATCCCATAAAATTTCCCATTTAAAATGTACTTGAATTAATTTTATTAAGTTGATACAGGCGTGTGACTATCAGCAAACAAGTCTTGGAACACTTTCATCGTTTCAAAGGTCGTTCAAGCCTTTCTCGTCCGTGTCTCTGCTGACTGCTGACATCTGTCTCTCTCCTTTGGGCTTCTCTGTAGTACGTTTGCAGTAGGCAACATGCACTGTGGGAAGCTGGTACATGTGATTGCTTATTTCAGGTCTTTTTGCCTCCTCTTTCCCTCTCACCTCTATCTCTTGACCCTTCTCCGTTTCGTAAAAGGCCTACCTCACTGTTTCCTGTTATCTCTTGTGTTACTTTTATTTATGTTTACGGTTTCCCACCTGAGGAGCCATGATGCTCAAGGCTGCATGTCTGATTTATTTCACTTAACGTTGTGGACTTGTGGTGCATCCGTTTCCCACAATGACACAAGTTCATCCTTGTTAAGCGCAGAGTCGTACTCCATTGTACGTGCATGCCACTTCTTTTGTGTCCATTCATGGGTTGCTTTTGTAGAAATTTCATCTGAACCATGCAATATGTGCTTATACATTTGTGTGTACGCATGTGGCTGGCTCATTAGCATAATTTTCTGAACTTCATTTACATTGTGTCATGTAATGATAGCATCTTACTTTTATTGATTATAGTATGTATATAGATAAATTGTGTGAACAACAGTGTGCTTACCCTCCCACAATTGGCAG